AAAAAGTAGTGACAACTAGATCCTAGAATGTTGGAGGCACTAGCCTCAGTCTGGTAACAACTGACTAGTGTATAAGTCATAAGAACAGCAAAAGCAGAACAACTAAATCCTAGAAATGTCGGAGGCAGTAGCCTAAGTCTGAGAGCAACAAAGCAATCAACAAGACAACCATATGTCACATGAGAAGTGTGTCGCACACCAAAAGGTGGGATGGTCTCTGAGGGTGGCGAAGGCAGCCTAGGGGTCGAAAACTCCTAAGGGCATCCACACATAGTGACAGGGGAAAACACATGTCATCAGGCTCAATGAGGGTAGGGAACTGGGAGCGAACAGAACCAATGACCCTAACAGATAGACCATCAGGGCGGGTAATGCTCGACTAAGGGGTGACCGCTATGGAGGGTCGACCATGCAAGGGAACAAGGGAGCCTGGTATACTGGGCGCACCTAGATGAAGCATGCGGGGCTGCCTAACTAGGGCATGAGGGTCGGCGAAGGGTAGAAAGATGATGGGTAAGGGAATCATGCAAATGACTCCTAAAGTGAGAGAAGTCGGAGCTAGATCCGTAAGATGGGAAGCCAGGGCAACGCTACGGTCCCGATGCCTATGCATATACCAAGGGAGAGCCTAACTCAGAGGAACCCGGCTAAAGGGAGACCATCGTGCGACACAAGCAGGGTACTATACAGGGTAGAGTGGTAAGAGAGTGGCGACGTCTGAAGTAGGCAGAGCTGATCGTGATGAAATCCATGAAGCCGCTGATGACGTCCACGATGAGAAGTCCGGAATGCCGTCGAGGAAGAGCCGCAGGGTCGACGAGCTGAAGTAGCAAAACTGATGTGGATGGAGTACTGAGAAGTCAAAGACGTGGGATGGTAAGTCAGAGTCAATCGTCGTATTGAGCAGGACGACGACGAGTGCGCTGTGGACGCTCAGAAGCATCCGGCTGCTGCTGAAGGTCTGCCTCAGATGGAGCAGGCTCAACTTCAGCGGTCTCCTCAGCCGGAGGAGAAGGAGGAGGGTCAGTGGGCTGAGGAGGAGCAGTGAACCCTGCACGACGATCACGGTCATAGGCACACACCAACATGCGAGCGTGCTCTAAGTGCTCGAGGGGTTCCCAGGTAGCCTCCTCATCAGGGTAACCCTTCCAACATACGAGATACTCGACGTGGGGAGGGTTGTCGTCGGTGACTCGGCGACCAATGATGTCTGAAACGAGGAACTCCGCGTGGCCGTCCACCATGATGGGTGGAGGGCGCTCGTATGGTCGTCCAACGAAACGCTCAGACGGTCTGCGGTAAGGACGCAGTAACGAGACGTGGTAGACATCATGCACACGAGCCTGGCGTAGGTAGTCGGGCAGCTTCACACGAAAGCTGACCGGGCTAGATGCCGTATCAGAACCGACGGCCTGGAGGATGCGGCACGGGCCAAAGAAGCGACGCCGAAACTTGCGAAGCGTGCCCGCTTCGAGCTGTAAGTGGCGGACGTCGATAAACACATCATCACCGACCTTGAATGGGTGATCCATCCGCGATCGGTTCGCACGTGCTGCCATGCAAGTCTGGGAAGCGGCTATGTGCTCATGTGCGGTCTTCATAATCGACGTCATGTGTGCAACCCAATCATCCAGCGCGGGACAACTCGTGTCGGGGTGCRTMTGGGACGGTCRAAGGAAGTCCGCGGGAACACGCRGGTGATAGCCGAGGTCGCAATAGTAAGGCGACATCCCCGTGGCTGGCGAGACGGCGTGGTTGTAGGCTATCTCCGCGTGGGCAAGATGGAGATCCCACTGCWGGTCGTCACGAACAATCTTTCGGAGAATATCCCCGAGAGTYCTGTTCGTGATCTCGGTCTGACCATCAGTCTGAGGATGGTAAGACGAGGAGAAGCGGAGCTGAGTGTCGTACACCTCGTGGAGCCGTTGCCAGAATCGGCTGGTAAAGCGCGGGTCACGGTCAGATATGATGCTCAGAGGTAAGCCGTGGTCACGCACGACTCGGTCAAATACGATGTCGGCGACCTCACGTGCACTGATGGCATAGCGGCACGGAACAAAGCGTGCACGCTTCGTGAAGCGGTCGACGACGACCAGGATAGCATCATGACCGCGGGGGGTCGGAGGTCGAAGAGGACCGATAAAGTCCATCGAGATGGACTGCCAACGACCCTCAGGGATAGGAAGAGGCTGGAGCAAACCATAAGGTAGGTGGTTCGCACTGTTCACCTCCTGACAGGTGGGACACTCTGCGACGTAGTCCTTCACAAAGTCCTTGCGCTTCGGCCAGACATACAGGCGCTTCACACGAGCCAACGTCTTATGGAAGCCCATGTGACCGGTGGCTGCCTGGTCATGGAACTCTGCTACTGCTCGGACACGTAGCTGTCCAGTGGAGGGAACGCAAATACGGGGCTCTCTGGTGCCCTGTGAACCGTGCCAGTACACGCTATAGACCAGGATATCGTCGAGGTAGACGAGAACGTACTGCTTCAAGATGTCCCTGAAGATGTCGTTCATCGCCCTCTGGAAGGTAGCGGGTGCGTTGGTGAGGCCGAATGGCATCACCGTGAACTCGTAGTGGCCGAATCGCGATCGGAACGCGGTCTTCGGCTGGTCGGCTGCAGCGACGCGGATTTGATGGTAACCGCTACGAAGATCAATCTTCGTAAAGAAGCGGTTGCCTGCTAGGCGGTCGAACAGCTCATCGGAACGAGGCATGGGGTAGATGTTCTTAACCGTGTAGCGGTTGAGGCCGCGGTAGTCGAAGTAGAGACGAAGAGTTCCATCCGCTTTGCGAGCAAAGAGGACGGGTGCACCCCACGGGGAGTTGCTGGGTTTAATGAAATCCAGTCTCAGGAGCTCCTCAAGCTGACACTTGAGTTCGGTGGCCTCGGGGATCGAGAGTCTGTAGGGTGCCTGGTGGTGAACACGATAGTCAGGCACGAGCTGAATGGAGTGTTCGACGTCACGC